TTTTGCTTTCCCTATTAAACTGTCTTTATCTCAACCCACGAGTTTTCTCACTTTTACCCTTCTGATTCTGTCCCCCATCCCACCGGGGAGGAGTGAGCGAGCGGCTGTGTGGGGCTTAGCTGCCGGCTGGGGTTAAACCACGACACCCCAGCTGTGCCTTAGCACGGCCAGGGAGGAAGAGACATGCCACCTGCCCTCAGTGAGATTTTACTTAGCCTTTACATTAACATGCCCCACAATCTTCCAAAATTAATTCTTGGTCCTCACCTTTTTACCAGCATAACCCTCCCAGAGGGTTAATACAGAAGGACCAGCCCCAGCTGCAGGTCCTGGCTCCGTGTCAAAACCCTGCTGTCTCTGGTTAGTCCAAGCGGGTGCTCACTGGTTCCGCAGACACAACCTCCATCTTTTACCCTGCAACCAGTTTTCTAACCCTGCCACATCGGCCCGGAGCCACTACACACCTCAGCCCTGCTTGCCTCTGCTCTGTGTGTGACAGGGCTGCAGAATGACTCAGAGGAGGGAAGTTAATGATTCAGCAGCGAGGCTGTGGCACGCCGGCTTCTCCCCCTGGATGCACAGAAGACCATTAAAAATCTTGGTGCAGTACAGCCAGGCTCTGGCCCCGGCTGCCCGCCGTCGCTAGCTCTGCCACAGCAAAACTGCCCAGCACGTCATTCCCTTCAAACAATTGTCAGAGGGGTTGTTTCAGGCGCCTCTAGCAGAAGGAAAGGTCTTCCCCGCCACCCAGGGATGCTGTCATTACTCTGCTACTTCATAACTGTCATCAAAGAAAATCACTCTGCACCGGACCATGGTTCAACGACGCAGTCGATGGTTTTAGGGTTTACCCACTTCAAAATGCTGCCGCCGCACAGCATGTTGCACTGGTGCTGTACGAAACCACTTTGCCCACTTGCATCTGCCGCAGAGATGCTGAGGAGCCAGGTTTGGCCTGGCAGGGTGCGTGCGGGGTGGGACAGGGTCTGCCCGTGCCACCCCCGAGGTTACGCGGCTCCGGGGTCACCATCCAGCTGGTGTAAAGACCCTCCCGTGCGCTCCCATTTAACGGCAATCCAACCGCCCGGCAGCACTGGCGCTGCC